AAAAACAAAACAGCTTTTTGAGATATAATTCACATACCATATAATTGACTCAGTGAAAGCACACTCATGCTGCATAATGATGTTTCAGTCAGTGATGGACCACATATATGATGGTGGTCCCATAACACCATATTTTTACTGTATTTTTTCTGTTTAGATATGTTTAGAGACACAAATACTTACCATTGTGTTACAGTTGTGTTACAGTATTCAGTACAGTAAAATACTGTACAGGTTTGTAGCCCAGGAACAATAGGCTATACCACACAGCCTAGGTGTGTAGTAGGCTATACTGTCTAGGTTTGTGTAAGGCCATTTGTTTGCCGGACAGATTTGCCTAATGACACATTTCTCAGGATATATCCCTGTCATTAGGTGATGCGTATGCCTGTATTTGTGTGTTTATGCCTATATAGCTCTATATCATTTAGCTAAATTTATTGCATTAGGATAAATTTCCAGAAGTAGATTTGCTAAGTCAAAGAGTAAATATACTTCTAAGTCTTTTGATCTGAATCACCAAATTGCTACCCAGTAAATTGATGGTAACTAACAGTTTAGCCTCCTACCAGCATTGTATGAAACTGCCCGTTTTTGTGGAATTAATTTAACTTGAGGTTTCTTAACTAAATAGTGTTATCTTCCTTTTTTCAGGTGTACTTGAAGGGGAGGTCTGGAGACAAGATGATCCATGAGAAGAATATTAACCAGCTGAAGAGTGAGGTCCAGTACATCCAGGAGGTGGGTGCCCCTTCCCTCTGAAGGAGCGCTTGGGTTATTTCTCTAAACCTCACATTTTTTTGGCTTCCTTATTTTTAAGGATTCTGTTTTTTTCTCTTCTGTTCCCTTTATGTCTCTGAAGTGCCACCATGCCCTCCCATGTGTCAAATATCATTTTTGACCCTTTGTACCCAATCCATTAATCCACAGATACTTATGAAGTACCATGTGCCTAGCACTGTGCCCCAGCCATATTATCTAAAATATCAGCCACCTTTCCCAGCGTTTCCTAACCTCTCTGGCTCATTTTTCTCCTTGGCATGTGTTACCATATAACATATTACGTGTTTTACTTACTGGTCTGTTGTGTTGTGTGTCTCCCCGACTAGAATGTTGGCCATAGCCCCACTTGACCAGGGTCCCTCCTTCCTTCCCGCAGCCAGTACTTAGAACAGCACCTGACTCACAGTAGTATGGGCTGGGGGCGGGCACAAAGGTGGGGGAGTTGGTGTACTCCCTTTCCCTGCCCTAAAGCTCAAGTTTCTTGCCCTCCCCTCCCAGGCCAGAAACTGCCTGCAGAAGCTCCGGGAGGATATAAGTAGCAAGCTTGACAGGGATCCCGGAGAGTCTCTCCAACGACAGGAGATACAGGTAATAGGAAATAGCCCGTGGTTGGGTCCCCACTGAGGAGGCGGGGTTGTGCCAGGCAGTCCCATGTACCAATTACATGGTGTGTGCTGAATCTAGCACCACTGCCAAGAATGGGGAACATCTAGGCGTGCTGGCTTTTCTGAACACTCACAGTCTAGAGTTAGGGCTCTCCGGCAGGTGGCACTTGCACTTACATGTGTCGGCCTGTGTATAAGTACACCCGATCCTAAAACACTATACAAAATGGAATTTTATAATCAATGATCATCAGTTATTGGCAAAGCCTCTTATCTATAAGGGTTCTGTGATTGATCTTGTAATTTAGAGTTTTATAAAGCAGTCTCCCCTAAATCCAAACTTCTCGTAAGTTGCTCTTGCTTAATTTGGGTGATACCTGTGCCGTAAACTGAAACCTTTGTCCTGCTTCTTCCTGGCCTGTTATTAATCTGTGTATGTAACTATTACTATATCTAACCTGGGTTTGGAAGCTCCTCGAGGTTAGGGGTTCACCCCCTGCCCCATAATCTGGGATGTAGAAGGCATCAGTACATATTTGTTAGACTGAACAGATTGGGTAAATCCTTTCTGGGATGGAGAATCCTGGGATCGTGCTTTTCAGCTTTTCCAAAATTTGGGGATAGAAATGTCCTCAGGAGAGCAGTGACTTCACCCTGACGCTCCTTTAGATTCCGAGGAGTATTTCCTTCATTTGCATTTCGGTTTGGGCAGGTTGGTCTTTCTCTAGCAGTCCCTGCCTTCGTCCCCCTGGAGGGAGCAGTGGCCCAGCAGCTGGTGCCAGGACAGTTCTTCTTCTTTTT